TACTTTAACCTTGGTGCTACTGTAGCTACTGCGAGCATAATGTTGAGTTACGCCCATGTAGCTAAGCAACAGGATTTCAGCCAATGTCTTTTCCCTGGGAAAAAATAACCAGGAAATCACTGAGCAAGCCAGGAATGTTTTCAACACAACATCCCAAGTGGCCCAACTCTTCACAATATTCCCCATCTCCATGGTAGCAGATTCTACTTGACATCACACCCCCACTGATTCTTCATGGCAGAACCATCTGCTCACCTCCCTGCCTTGTATGCATGCCAATTTACAACAACCCTAACAAGATGCTCGATAATTTATGTAAGGAAATCCCCATGAGGGCTTCTATCAGGATGATGGCCATGCATAGAGTAATTCTTTCTCTCCCCCCGCTCAACTTTGTAGTCTCAACGGCAACAATATACACAAAAAGTGGGAGAGATGACTGAGATGCATTAAATATACAGTACAAAGAATTGGAGAAATTGGGGGGAGAGGGGGAATGATGACTGAAGTTAAAGCTTCAGTCCTACCTAGCAAAGCATCACCCAGAAGCACTGGAATACAATCACAATCTCTTCCAATAATCATTATCTTGGGTGGAGGCTCATGGGAGTTGTAATCTGACACATCTGGAATGCACCACAGTGAGGAAAAGCTGCTGCCATTTTAGCAGATGAGGTAACAGCTGGGGGGAGGTTTGACAGATTTGTCTGAAGACTGACAATTCAGTGAGAAGGAAGTATTCTGAGTTCTAATCCTGTTGAGAAACGGACAGTTTTGTTCTCTTGTTTTTTTAGGAGAGTACACCCAAGATACTAAAAATGAAAAACCAGGGTGTGATCAGACTGTTGCAAAGGTTGCACACTTGATTGCACCAGAAAGGGTCACTTTAAGGGAGATCGCTCCCATTAAAGTGACCCTTCTGTCTGCCAGGGAATCACTCCAGCCCAGCTCCCAAAAAGGTCCAGCTTGAGCACACATTGAGGTTGTGATGGAGTGCATTTCTCAGTGCATTGTGTGAATGCTGGGAAATAGCTCACACCTGACCACTCCACAAGTGGCCCAAATTGTTATCTATCTCCCTGTGCGATCACACCCTTCAGTCTAGGATGTCTTCTTAGGATTTGACAAAACAAGCGCTGTTGTGACATGTGGGCACCAGAAGTGGTTCCCCCCCCCAACTCAAATGACGCCTTCTTAGGAGGACCTTCCTGAGGACCTCAGCAGAGAAGAAAAAGAAAATTCTGTCTCCTTGTTTGCTGAAGTCCTAAAAATAATTGGTAGCCCAAACCTTGATGTTAGTTACATTTAATACATATATACAGCTTCAATGCAAAGATGCATTCAGTGCTACAGCTAGTCTGGCCTTTAGACTTGAATGTGGCAAATATAAAAGTGTGTATTAATTACCCAGACAGTCCAGGAGGTAAAAGTATGGGATGTGTCCAATTCAACTTATTCCTACTGAGCATACACAGTTTGGCTCTCTGCATGCTTACTCAAGGCAAGTCAGAACGGTGTCGCATCCTAAAGTCCTGCACATACCACAGTCCCATGCAACAGCTTCCAGGCTACAAATCAAAGCTGAGTTTCCCAGCTTTAAATAGCCTCTTATCATCAGTTAGTGTTAACTGCAAAAGAAGCTGGTGGGCTAAAAGAAGAACTCCTGCACGTCAAAGCATCACCACACTCATGCTACAAACGTGGACACAATTGTTTGTGTGTAGGCTCCATATTTTGATTCCCACTGTGGTGTATTGATTTATTTTATTTATGTTTGCACTACTAGACCACCTCTGGCCAAATGGTCACTCTGGGCATGTAGCAGAGTGATGGACTAGGACTCTGGAGACTAGGGTTCAAATCCCCACTCCACCATGAAAATTCGCTGAGGAAGTGGGACTGATAAAACCACTCCATAAATAGCTCACTTACCTTGAAAGCCCTATTAGGGTCATTGCAAGTCAGTTCCAGTTTGATGGCACAGAAAACATACACACAGGCTCCATATGGCTACCCTTCCCAGTGACACTTACCAAGCAGACATGTGTGCAAATATATAAACAGTTGAGCACAGAGCTATCAGGATGAGGCCATCAAGTTCATTCCTGGTTCTCTACAGTTCACTGATCTATATCTCCAGATATGTCATATGATGAGGATTAAACACTCACCACCATGCCCATCTGATTCCCCCCCCCCAAAAACAGCTTGACAAAGAGTTCCATGTACTCAAAAATTCACATAATGTACTACTGTGACTACCCTTTCAAAACTGGCACATAATGTCAGTGTTTCATTGATTTCTTTTTCTGCCATTTTAAGCTGTTTTTTTAATGTTTTTGATGTACTGTGAATAACGGTTGGTCCTAATAATCCTTATAAGAAAGGCATTACTGTATCTTACTGGACTCGGTAAACATATGAATAGAAATACTTTTTTTTCACAGCTGTTGGCTGTTACGTAAAATTGTCAAATGGTTTCAAATGAATTATTGCTATTCATAATATTATGTTTATGATACTAACATTGTTTCAAATACAATACTGTAATAGGTATCATCATCATTATCACCATCAGTGTAATATAGATGGTACATATCCTCAAGGAACTTGCAATCTGAAATTTGACAAAGAGAAGATAAAACAAGGGGAGAGGAAGTAGAAGAGTTAGCAGTAAACAGGAGAGGTATATGCTGTTCCTTCAGCCAGACATGCTTAGGCAAGCTCCAGTACACCCCATGTACATCATAGGCCATTAAAACAACCCACAGTCTACTAACAACCAACAGTGGAGGACAGAACAAGGTAATTTGCTGCCTGAGGCAAAGGGCAAATCCTCTCTCATCCCACATATAGAATCAAAATGGAGGGGCAGCTGAATGTTACTTCAGTCCTGAGGATTGGACAGAGTCTTCCTCAACCTTTGAAGGCATTGGACCAGTTTAGCAGTTGCAGGAGAGACTGGCACTTAACTCTGTCCTCCAATGAAAGTGATATCCAGTTACCTCATTCTGCCTAGTGGCAGGGATAACTACTGTATGTCCTCCAATGAAAGTGATATCCAGTTACCTCATTCTGCCTAGTGGCAGGGATGGTGCTAGTGAAATGATGTTGCATATAAAGGGCAGGATCTTGTTTTTGAAAAACACCTCATGAAGCACCTATCTTTCACTAGTACATTTAAAGTTTTTTTTCTCTCTCTCCCATTTTTCTCTCTCTGCTGCAACATTCTGGGGCCCAGCAATGGACATTATTCATGATTTTCTTTTTTTTAAAATGGTTAAAACTGGCATTTTTAATCCTGAAGAAATTGTCCATGGGTGCCAATTCAAACTGGAAGCAGATTCCAGATCAGAGGCCCTCTGCTTCTTTTTCTTAAAAAAAGTGGCCAGTTTAAACACTCTTCTTTTTTAAAAGTCTAAATAAAACTGAGTGTAATTTTATGTTCAGTCTACACTAAAGGCCACAGAGAAGATTCCCTAACTTTCAAGAAAGCATTTTTGTACTTCCGTTTGTCTGAAGGAAAGTACAGGAATCTGTTTGTGAGCCTTTTATACTCAGTCATAAGGACTACTCTGAGATGTTCTGCTGCCTAAGTCAAAGAACAAGATGATATTGCCCCTTTCCCAGTTCACTGCATAAAGCGGTGGCCACTTTGGCAAGATTGTGGACCAATTTTGTACCTCACAAACCTGCCACAGGTCACCTATTCCCTGAAGATCCTTGGGGAGAGCATGTTTCTTTGAAAACAGAAGTGCCCCATCCTACAAATATTCTAGTTTGGTCCTGGGCCTTGCTCTATAGAAGAGTCTTGGGCTCATAAGTGGAATGTGAACCCATGATTACCATTCCAAATAGAAATTAATTGGAGTGGGAACTGAAATTTGTTTCAACAATAAGATGCAATACTGGCTGCATGGCTGATGTAGCTCTTTCCTCCAATAGGATAAAATAGCTGGGTGTAACAGGAAAAATAGATGGCTGTCACCACTTTTCCCAGAATTTACCACTTGCCTAATGGTAGGGTCAGACACCCTGGTCATTAACTTCGGCTTTTGGGTGGGGGGAATCAGTAAAGATCTCAGGATTCTGATAATGGATAATTAAAAAGGGCCAAGATGCTTTTCAGTATTTCGGTACACAGAACTCCAACTATGGAAGCTAATGAAGTTATATTAGAAGATGATTGTCACATATATATATAAGGACAGAGAGAGAGAGAGAGAGAGAGACTGTATTTCGGTACACAGAACTCCAACTGTGGAAGCTAATGAACTTATATGAGAAGATGATTGGCACATATATATAAGGACACACACACACACACACACACATATGGGTGGATAACCGCAGCCTTCCACATGTCCGTAGACTGCAACACCCATCAGCCCTAGCTGGCCTAGTCAATGACGAGAAATTGTGGGAGTTGTAGTCCAAGCTCTAGATTAGAGAACTAGTTTGCCTGAGTATATGAACACTCACTATATTTGTTTAAGATATAACATCACATTGAGTTATGTGTATCCTTTGGCCATGAGATGTTCCATTTTTGTTGTATTTCACTTCCCTGAAATTATTGGTGGGTGGTAAATATGCCATAAAATGATCTAGCGCTGCAAGTGAGCCACAGGAAGATTACTAGCTTTCAAATCTCTTGTATATTTTCATATCCCCCCGTGTATTGGCATGCTTCCCACCTTTAGTTTTGCTGATCTAAGGAAGGAAAACAGCAACCATCTATAACCATCTACAGGATTAGGCACTGAAGGGCAAAACCATGGTTTCAAGGTAGGATCTTTTTTCTTTCCGTTCTGCACTGAAGTCAATTCATTCCACCCACTCTTTCTCAAGGCTCACATTCCATTTTCAGGATCATTTTGCAAAACTGCTGGATTGCCTCTGAACCTTCACGTCGGACATGATCCCTGACCTGTGGGCCTGTGTCCAGAGAAATGTAGGTCATGTTTATTATTCCTAAACAGTGTGAAAGCCAGACATACCTTTTGGCATAACCCCCCTTGGCCCTGGACTAAAAAACTCCATTGTGGGAACATCGTCTTCTTCTTCATTGGAGACATTGGGTGGGAGGGCTCTCCGCCCACTCAGCCCAGGGGGAGCCCCTTGCTTCTTCTCTCTCTCAGCAGCTGTTGCTTCAGTCATGGCAGCTATCTCGCAGATGCCTCTTTAAAGGAAGAAAGAGGAAACTGGAGAAAGGAAAAAGGAATGAGTCAGCAGTGCCTGAAGCCTGTGTGCTAAGTACATAGGGCGGGCATGTATGTACCCAGAGGAAAAAAACACAGGAAAAGCAGATGCAGAATTGTCAGAACAGAATATTACCCCACCAGCTTCCTCTGATAGTTGATAAAATGCAACCAGAAAGAAGACCAATCCCTTAAAAATGCTAGGTACACCTTGGAATTTCTTGAATCCCAGTCAATAATAATAGTAGTAATAGTAATAGTAATAGTAATAGT